AGTGCCATGTGATATCTTGTGTTTTGATGGTTTCTGATCACCTATCTTTTCTGCCTCCTCAGTCTCTTAGCTACTGTTGTCAACAGGTACTTACGGATGTGCGGTACTGAGGCAGCGCTTCTGAGCAAGCACCTGTGGTGCGGCCCTAAGAAAACATGGCATACCTCTTGCTTTTGATTTGCTTCAAACTTATACGTACCATGTATTTTGAATATATTCTTGAATACTCCTTATTTCTACTATTTTACTTTTTAAAATAAACATATCTAAAATAAAACTGCCATTTAAATTATAACATCAAAAATATCAAAAGGATCAGTAATCAGCAATCATACCAAAGCAGCTATGCTTAAAATTTCTACCAGAAGTTAAATGAAAAAGTTAATGTTAAAAATTCAAGTTTAGGAAAAAAAGAAAATGACAAAATCCAACCATGGAAAGCACTTGCTAAACTGGCCATTTATTTGCAGTCTGTTGAAAACATTCTTTCATTTTCAATAAACAAAATGTAGGTACAATCTCTCTCTCTCTCTCTCTGTCTCTCCCCCTCCCCGTGTGTGTGTGTGTGTGTGTGTGTGTGTGTGTGTGTGTGTGTGTGTGTGTGTTAGCTGAAAGGCAGAATAATTTGGGGACTTGTAAGCTTCCAAGTGGTACCCCCAAATAATTTCTAAGTTCAACCAATTTCACTAAAACATTAGGTCTTGTATAACTCAAAAGAAAGACACATAAGTTTTTTTGATTGAGAGTTAAAACTTGCATCATTTTCTGTACCATTTGTTTATTCTAGTTTATCAATGATGCAAGAAAAACAGCAGATATGCTGACTAATCAAGTTTATCTATCAGTAGCATATGTCAATATTTCAAACAAACTGCCGAATAGTTTCTCCCAATCAAAAATTTATAAATCAATTTAAATTCCTGGTAATTAAATGCATTAGCTCTTCAACAATGAACGTAGTACTTTACAAAGAGTATTATGCGAAATCTGCACTCACGAATATGTTGATCAAAGGTAAAACAGCACCTTTTTATATCTATTAAACCAAGGTTCTAAGAACTAGAAAGTTCAAGACATAAAAGCCTGCAATTGTTCCAAATACAACTAGTAATTCTGCTGATTTTGGACCATTACAACTGATTACCTAACTAGGCAATCATTGAAGACATACAGACACACACAAACAAAAACAGGGAAGTATTAGCATAGCTGTCTTCACCTTGAGATGAAAATTCTGAAAAAACAATGCAGACTCTCAAACTTTGTGGATCTGTCCCTAGGCATGAACTGAGTAAGATACTAATTTCTAAAAGGTGACAACCAGAAGCACAGGAAAAAAAAGAATTAACCCATAATGAAATTACCCATATTTTTTCGGGTGGTTTATATTTAGACTATCTTAGAAATGCCAAGTCATAATACAGATGGTCTCTACAGATTCTTAGAAATACCACCTCTTTTCTTCCCTCTGGTTACACTCTTATAGTATCATCTAAAAGTAATTAATGAAATTTCTGCACTCTTGTATATTTATCAGAAGTAACTACCTACAAAAAGGTTTTCAAAGTTCCTGCCTAACATGAATAAAAACCAAAACAAAAAACATTTTCTATTTATGGGAAGGAAAAAAATATCAGCCCTGGAAACTCAGCTGCAGGAGTCTTAAATACAACGAAAGAATAAAACCCACTACTTTCACTCAGAAGATATCAGATACAGTTTAAAGAATCTCACTGATTCAATACAGATAGAAAAATGAAAAATACTGCATTTTCAGAAAAAAAAAAAAGGTGTTTCTTGAAACAATTCCAAACAGACTCTATAAACTGTGTTTTTAGAAGAGAAAAGCAAATCAACTTACACATACGGTTTCCAAACAGAAGTCTTACCCTCTTCCAGGAAAACAACAATAAGACTTTATTACCCTGCTATGATTCTTTCATTTCAGACATGATTAATTAGCAAGTATTACACTTCCCAAAACTCCCAACATACTCTTCCCTATTTATTTGACGATAGATTCACATGAAATAACAACTTGCCTCCAGCAGTGTAAGACAAGTATCCAAAAACTCTGCTTCAAAGAAGGAACACTTCTTTCCTATCTTTGCCTCCCAGAATGAAGCAGGCTGCTTCTAACTGCTTTCACAATGCTTTTTTCAACTTAGTCATTTTCCTAACAATACTTTCTAAATTTTAAATAATGCATACAACATATTCATTATTCAAGAATACATAGCATGTTTAATCTGATACCTCTATTTTTAAGCTGAAATTCCAAAGGACTTATGTGTCCATGTAGTTTATATTGATAACCATAAACATGCACAATTAATAAACAATAGAGACGATGTATGCAAACATGTTTTGGGACATGGTTTTTGTAGAAACAATGTTTCTTTTCCAAATAAAAGCTAATTTTTCACAAATATAATGAAAATAAGAAGCAAGAATTAAGGAGTAAAAGACAGGGAGAAGAGGATAACTAAAATTCGAATGAATGAAAAACTCTTGACTCTCTTTATATTCTTCCAAAATACACTTTCAAAATAATTTTCATTTTGAATAATCTATGTTCAAAATGTCCATTCCATGTGCACCAAGAAGCCAGCCATCACTAAATGTATTACAAACGTATATTTTAACAATCCTCAATTTATAAAGTCTGGGATTTCCCCTTCAACCTTTCAACTGTTACGTCCAGAAAACTTCACACATAGTGAAATCCTAATAAATAGATCCTGTTGGTTCCAAGAAACATTTTTAAAAATCTATACTGGTCAAAATATCCTTGCTTTTTTTTTCTGTTGTATTAAATTTAGGATCAAAAACATCAAAGCAGCTTCCACCTCAGAACTAACTTTTAGAGGATCAATGTGACAAGGCAGTCCCTGATAGATGTTTCTCTTGATAAACGACTTGTTCAAAAGAGACATTGTAGCTTTCATTTCCTGGCCACAACACACTTTTAATTTGCAACAGCAGAGCTGCCAGAGTGTGAGCACTTGCCCACTTTCTAGTCTTTTAGGTTTGTAGCTCTGGTTCCTTTAGGCCACACATTTGAGACAAACAAAATCTAAAAATAATCAGAGTAAAGAATTAGAAAGTAGGAGCCACTAATGCCACTTTATACATATACACAAGTGTCTCCTTTATATACGTGTATATAAACTTTCCCACCTAGAATTCTAATATATGATAACAAGACTCCTAAGTTAACATCATTTGCACATCAGACATTTAAACATAGGGAAATGAATTATGTGACTATTATTTAATAGTAAGCAGAGACTTAAGAGGGTGGCAATTTACACACTCAAACCTGCTGTTAAATGTCATGAATTATATAACTGCCTATGCCAGTATGTTTTTTATGAATTATTGCAAGGATTGTTATTAGTACTACCTAGAAATCACATTTAAGTATCAATACGGTGAACAGTCAAACCATCCAATTTCTGCTCTCAGCACATTGTCCGAGCTCCGATTTAAAATTTATAAATGTAATATCCTCCTCATCACAGGCAGCAGCCCAATCTGCTCTGAATATATATTACAGCTTTAACATCACAGAGGGAAATCGCCCATCTGGCAATCCCATTCGCTCCAACAGCTCCGGGGGAAAAAAAGCTGTGCTCTCTCCTCCTTAAAACATTTCTCAGGGCAAATTATGTGCATCTAAAATAAACAGTCTTCTTATTGATCGCTTCAAAGTCAACAAGTTCCAAATGCAAAATTCAATCAGATCCTTCCTATCGTGTAAGTGTGGTGTGTATTTAGCTCAATAGTCACCAGGGTCCAAACAGAAGTGCATGTCGCGCAAAGGGTCTTGTAGTTCCTCTCTTCGGATTCACATTTGTGTTAGGAGAGAGCAGTGATCACGGCCACACTACAGACCCCTGGCAGATTTGCCCCACTGTTATTTCTTTTTTCATATTCTCTCTTTCCTTCTTTCTTTTGAGGAGGAATTAATGGTCATGGGGTAAATATAACAAATAGAACAACAACAATAACAAAAGCCAGTTTAAAGTGGACATGTCCTTTGGTTATGCAAAATACTTTACATCTTTTTGTTGTTGTTGGTGTTCCCTCTCAGTCTTAATTGAATATCACAAAGTGTACACAGGGCACTGCCACAAGAGCTATTGAAAACCCCCCTCTCACTCCATTTAACTGACCTTTTTTTTTTTTTTTTTTTTTTTGGGGGGGGGTAAAGAAAGAGGAAAGAGCGATTTCAAATGAAGTCAATTTCAGTGCCTGATTATTTAATTCTGTCACAAGTTAAAAGTAAAAAGCGCTGACAGGAAAGACAAGTCAATGGAAAGGGGAAAAAAACCTACCCCTATTCTTTAAAAGGCATCAAGGACTTTGGGCAATCAAAATATATATATTTTTTTATTTTCATGTAAAAGACACCTCTTCACTCAGCGTCCCCTCCAAAAAAAAACACACTCTGAAGAACCGATTACTCCATAAAGTGCAATCATCGAGAGCAGATAGTCAAATTGCATTAATAGATTGAGAAAAATAAAATTTCCATCCAGTCCTGTTCCCGTGTGTGTACATATATATACATATATATATATATATATATATACTTTCATTAGTTAGTAATCTTTCCCAACACTCCTGCTCTCTCCCCTTTGCCCAGCCTCCCCCCTCAAGAAAATAAAAAAACCCACACTGAGTTTAACTAATTTACATACTATTTGACTTCAGCAGTTATATAGTGTATTACTAGTAACATGCAACTTCTGGATGACAGCTAAAACCGATAAAAGTGGATTCAGGTGATATATTAATCAAAACTGCAATATACAAACAAGTGATAGCAAAAGAAAAAGAGCATGGTGACATTAAACATATATTTAAAAAAAAAAAAAAAGGAATTCTATATCATGAGCAACTGTTCGCCAAGCAGTCTTCAATGGTTTTATCATGCTATTTCATTTGTCTTTCCTATTTAGATGCAAAGGAAGTAAATTCCAAAACTGACATACCATAAACACTGGTGCTACTGATCATTTCTTGCTGGCAGCACAAAAAGCTGAATTGGATTTCTCACAAGCAGGAATTCCAAAGGTTGCTTTTCATTAAAGCCACTTTTCCTCTCAGCTATCAAATGTCACTGCCTTGAAACGTGGGCCCTTTCGTCAGGTATTCATTTAACCTACATGCATATAATTAAGGGGGAAAGCAACATCAACAAAAAGGGGATCTCAGATCACAGGAGAAGAAAGAAAGGAAAAAAAGCACATGACCAGGAATGCAAGTCCATGTCAATTTCACTCACTCCCATTGAAACTAACAAGAGCTCCGGGGAGGACGGTAATAGGATCAGTGGATTGTATATACCATTAAATTATACATCTTTCTCTCCCGTTCCTTGCCAACAATACGCCCACCACGCTGTACCCCCTCCTAGATGATGTGCTTACATTTTTCTGCAACCGATCTTCTGACATTTTCTCGTTTCCTCAGCCACGAGATTGTAATTTAACCTCAACTTTTTGTGTGTGTGCAAGATTCTTATTTACACTTCTTATTTACTTAGAAGTTAGTTCCCGAAGAAAGTCTAGCCCCACCCTATGGCTCCGCTTTCTTATTTTTCAATTTTGAAGTAAAAAGATAGTAATAAGTAAGCCCAATATAGCGAAAAGCGAGATTCTTGCAATCGCGAACTCTTAATCCCATACTATTGTTACAATGATTAAGCAGCAAAAATATGCATTATAATGTTTCGGGGCTACTTTGAACAGAGAAATTAGACAGCAGGTTGGCGTACAGAATAGAAACGAGTGTAAATTGAATTTAATGTTTACAGGACAACTCGAAGATCTCTTTTTATTACAGGTCTTGTATGTATTTATATTCTTTAAAAATAAAACAAAAACAAATTTAAGCAGATGGTAGAAAACTACGAAGCTCCTCTTACCTGAACGCGCGGAGAGAGAACCCGATAGGTTAGCGTAGCATCGATCCGATGTGTTTGCTGATGAATGGAAGCTAGGGTTAAGTGAAGGTGCCTATGATTTGAAATCATTCCAAGTTTTTGAAGGGAAGACGGACTGCAGCCTCTGCCATGTTGGAATTTCAAACCCAAAACAGCTGCTTGGAAGGAGCCAGCATGCCAGAGGCTGGGCGCAGGCGCAGAGCGCCGCCGAGCCAAATTCAAATCACTTTCACACTAAGAGCCAAAGATCAGTTTTCAAAGGAGAGAGGGAGAAAGAGACGGAGGCTGCCGTGAGGGAGAGAAGACGGGAGGCAGTGGCGAGAGGCGGGCAGTGGAGAGAGACGGGCAGCGGGAGGACCGGCAGGGAGAGGGAGAGGCGCTCGGAGCCCGCGGAGCTGGAGGGGGAGAAAGGGAGGCGGGAGGCGAGCGGGCGAGCGAGCTAGAGACGCGCCAGAGATTCATGGGCAGGGAGTGCTCAATGGCCGCGCCGCGCCGGCCGGCCGGCCGCTCGGGTCATGTTACACGGCCGGGGCCGCGGCGGCCGCCCAGCCTCGCCGACGCGCTCACGCGGCCCGGAGGGGGCCCCGAGGTCATGATTACGCGCGCGGGGACTCGCAGCTCTCCCTGGGCGCACTCTCGGGCGGCCCAGCCTGGGGAAAGGGGAGCAGCGCCCTAGCGGGGGAAGGGGCCTTTCTTTCCCACGCGTGACCAGCCGGCCCCTGCGCTCCCGGGCCTGCCTTGGAGGGCCCGCGACAGAGCCGCGCAGCTCCCCGGCCCGCGGGCCCTTCCCTCCCGGCTCCCGGCCCTCTAGACAGCTGCGGCCCGTCAGCCCTTCCCCACCCCCTCTGCGCACGGGACGGGATCTGGTCCCGAGAGCCGAGACTTCACCGGCACCCTCCCCGGGGCCCCCAGCGACAGCGACAGCCAGAAAATGACTTGATCTGCTTAGAAGAGGCAACTTCGGGGGGAAAATCCGCATTCACCCAGTTCCCCTCCCCCGCCTCCCTGTGAATAAATAAAATCCTAAGTGTCTAGGTGTGCGGTCCCCTCTGGCGCTCGCGGACACCCCTCCCTACCTCCCCTCCCTACCTCCCCTCCCTACCTCCCCCAGGCGGCTCGGGCCGGAGAAAGCAGCGCCCGGGGGGCCACGGTGCCGGCGGCTGGTGCGCAGGCATAGACGTTAGGCTTCTGCCTTCCCAACCCCCCTCTATGGAGCAATCTGGGGACTCAGGAGTGTGAAGAGAGTAGGGGCTTTGTGGTGGTAGGAGCCGAGGAAGAATGAAATGTGCAGTTGAGTGTGTTGCTCGCATCCCAGGGAGCAATGCAGTGCTGATTGTCTGTTGCTGAGATAGCCTTTTGTTCGGAACATAAGGTTTAAGAAACACACGTTTTCTGGGGTCTCTTGTTAGATGTAAATGTGCGGCATCCAGACGCTTACTATGCAGTGTAAGCTCAGTTGGTTTACTAATCACCCCGCCCCACCCGCAAACAATCAGGATCATTTGAATGGGAACCTCATTCAGACTTCTAGGCTGAGAGTATTGCCTTCAACCTATTTCATTCTAGACTAGCCAACCATCCAACTGAGATAATAAAGCAAACAATAACATTTGATCATGATGTCTACGAGATAATGTGCCTGGCAAAGTTCTTTAGGAATTGTAATGAGAAAGAGAGTGAATTGGGTCATAATTTCTCTTCGTTTTCATTAAATATGACTAATAGATAAATGGTGAGTTTATACTTTGGCCTGGTGGACATCCAGCCCTCTATATTTCAACGAAGCTAAGAACGAAAGAGGCAAATTACATATTCCACCAGGAGCCCATCAAGCTGAAAATGTTACCTTTGAAGGTTGGAACCGAAAATGCACTTGCTGAGGACTGACCCTCCTCGAAAGGGTGTTCACATTTTCCCCAGCTTCTCTGTTGTAGATTTGATAGCCTAAATTGCAGCTCTCCAGATGCTGAAACGCAGCTCTTTAAAAATGCCAAATATATACTTTGAAATTAATTCCATTCTCCTTTTATGATATTCTTACCTTTGAATGGATGCCTTTAGCTAACACTCTGAGAAATAAAAATTATTTTAGTTAAATCTAGGCACATGACAGAATTTAAAAGACAAAAAAGAGTGATTCGAGATCCTAAGAAATATTTCTAAGCAATGCGATTTCTATTTGGAATGGATTTGACCTTTCTGTGCATTTTTTTAAAGGAGTCTTCGAAATAAAGTAGAAGAACTTTATTCTAATGTAACAGAGAACACTGAAACCTCTTTAGTTATATTTTACAAGATAGCTTTGAAAATGATATTATGAAAAGTTGTTCATTGGATTTTACCACAAAGAAATAAGTGTAGGAAAATATCTGTGGGTCATTGTTGGATTGAGTACAGATGAGTTTTTAAAAAAAAAAAAAGAAAAAACTGTGAAGCGCTCATAATCGCAGTTATTGCCCTTTGGGGGAATGATGACCAGAAGTCCTCTGGACACACAGCAGATGCTCTGTGCAATTCGGGCAAAACTGCTCTGTTCTTGTTTGTTAAAAAAGTTCAGAGCTCATCAACCTTTAACATTAAATTCCTAGCACTGAATTTACAGTTCCTTGTATAAATTCAAATAGGGAATAAAATGTATAATAGAGTACCCACTGAATACAAAAACAATGTATTTTGATGACAGGCTTAAAACTATTCATCTGTAATGTCTAAAATAAAACAACCACTGCTCTTTAAACAAAAAAGGAGGAAAAAGTGTGGTTAGCAAGAGTTTATTAATAGATAATAACTCCTACCTTTCCAATTCCCTTATAGATTCATTTGAAATACACATTTTAAAAAACATTATTCAACATGCAAATAAATATAATTAACTTTGGAATCAAATAATTGGCAAACTATTCGAAAGAGCACTGGATAGATGTACAGTTTCAAAATTGTTCAAATTTACATATACTCTGGGAGAAAAAGGTTTACATAATAGAATATGCATTATGGGACTTGCAAAATAATAAGATACACGGGAGTTTGTCATTGCACTATTTCTACCTTTTATTTTTTTAATTTTAGATATGGGTGAAAGTTCCTTTTCTCTAATATTTCAAGCAAAGGAAAATAAAACGACTTCCTTTTTCACAGAGATCCATTGCTTTGTTTACAATGTTTCATAGTTTTTGTTGTTTTAATAAAACTATCTTTAATGATGTGGTACGATTAAATAGCATTTTAACAGTCACCATATTCTACGTGCATTTGTCTTCAAAATTTTATTCAAAACAAATGTTTCTGACTGTAGCNTTATATATTTTTTGAAACTTCTTGAGATAACATGAGAGTTAAAAATTGAATGTTTAAAGAAAGTTGATTGGCTAGTCAGACAAACAGTTATTTCAGGAAAGAATCAATTTGACTAATTTTTTTTCCCACTCTTAGCCATATCATTTCTCTTTCTATTTTACTTTTTAAATGTACAGACATTAAAATATAATGCATTACATTTTGACTAATATATGAATTTCTAATAAACAGTATATTCAGACTTATGCTTTTTAGGAAAATCATAAGAAAAATCAACATAACTTTTTTCTTCAGGAGTGTGTGTGTGTGCGTGCATGTGTGTGTGTGTGTGTGTGTGCATGTGTGTGTATGTGCCTTCCTCTCAGAGGGGAATTCCTAATTCAGAGGGGAATTCTACTTTTTTTTTCTTTTTCTTTTCAAAATAATGTGAGCAACAACAACAAAAGTGAAGGCTTAGGAAATAAGCAAGATGATATTGAATGTGACTTTGCAAATGGCCATCTGGTTGTCTGTACTGAACTAAGGATAATATGAGCTAGGCTGGACACAGAGATGTGCCTTACCTAAGTGATGGGAGAGGAAAAGAAAGGAAAGGAAAAAATAAGTGGAGGAAGAAGGTAGACAGCAGGAAGAAAAGATGAGGGAGATATGGGTGACAAGATGCTTTAAAGGAAAAAACAAGTTCGGAGGGCTAAGATGTATAGTTTTTCATAAAATGAAAAACATAAAATGCTAAATCCAATTCAATGTTTCAAATATTGTCTTTTAGATTTGAATTTAAATGTTAAACATTTTAATAAAACATTAATAATATCTTCTTCCAGACTCCCAGGTTTCAAAACACATTCCAGGACTTAGTAACTGTTTATAAAACTAGACTTTCTTTCATATTACTCAGAAAAATCTGAGGTAGGCTCTTACAATAATGCAAATTAGTGACAAGATAATTTTTTAATGCTTCCATAAAATCGCAGTTGATTTTAAGGCTCATCATTTTAACTTCAACTAAGACTACTAAGAAGTCTTTAGGTACCACCCTCTCCCCCCCACACCCAAAAAAAAAAAACCCACAAAACCTAGTGAAGATCTTGACCTCATTGAGTAAAATTATTCAATTTGTTCAGAATTACACTCAAATGCAGGTACTGTCAAACGATATTAGTGCGGTTCATATATCTCTTCAGTGATGTAGCTCTACAGTAGAGACAAACTGGAAAACCTTCTAGTACCCTAAGTACTATATTTTTGAATTCACATATGTTTATAGTGTGTGTACATTTGCTGCAAGTTTTGCCTGATTTTGCATGGCTCTCAATTTCATTTAGAAAGTATTAAATACGTACTGTAGTTACAAGTATTACATTAAAAATTGCAGAGGATTTAAAGAAAAGTGACATTAACGTTTTATGGGTGAAGCCAGACAAATATTTCCTAAAGTGAATGTTATAAAGTACAGTTATAAAGTGTTCTGTCTGGAGGAAAATGAGTTCTTTTGTGAAGGAGAGGACAACTTTTCTAGCCTTTGTCACAGCAATCTTTCCTCTCTCTCTTTTTTTTTAATTTAAATTTTTATTTATTGCAAAGAACAGATCTCACTATATTGCCCAAGGTAGTTTCAAACATCTAGACTGCAGCGATCCTTCTGATTGGGCTACCTAAGTGCTGGGATTGCAGGAGCGAGCCAGCCACTACGTTTGGCCTTGTCTTAGCAATCTTTATCCGCCAATAAAACAGATCACTTGTAGTTTGCACAAGCAGTACTGTTTCTCCTCTCTATGCCTTGCTGGTCAGTATGCCCCCTTCCTGAATTGACTTTTCCTCTCCTCTTCTGTGGGCTAACTCCCTTAAGACACCCAGCACTTAACCTCTTCCGACCCACTCCCCAACCTTCCCAGAGAAGCTTAAGTATCTTTCGCCTGTTCAGTCTCTTTCTTTCTCTCTCTGTACCTTCACATCATTTAAAAAATCTTCATATGTTTCACTACTGCATTAGATTTTGAGCTTCTTGAGGGCAGGCAATTGCTGTAACTTCTTTGTTTTCGCCCATGCCTAAATTAATTGGGATAATTCAAAATAAATTTTTACTGAGGAAATTAATGCGTTGACTAGTAGAGGAAATAGCAAAGACAAATTGAAGGAAACTGGAGAAGTATTTGCAGAAAACAGCATATAATCTAGTTTGGTTGAGCCTTTGCTTCACACAGTCACAGAATTGGAAATGAGG